CTCCATTTATCATGATGTTGCTTATTGGTCCAGTTGTGAGGATTTTTGTTTTCTTTATGTTGAGGTGTAATCCATACTGAAGGCTGTGGTCTTTGCTCTTCATCAGCAAGTGCTTCAAGTCTTCACTTTCAACAAGCAAGGTTTCATCAGCATATTGCAGGTTGTTAATGAGTCTTCCTCCAATCCTGATGCCACATTCTTCTCCATATAGTCCAGCTTCTTGGATTTACTCAGCATACAGATTGAATAAGTATGGTGAAAGGATACAACCCTGGCACACACCTTTCCTGACTTTAAACCACACAGTGTCCCCTTGTTCTGTCTGAATGACTGTCTCCTAGTCTATGTACAGAGATGACTAATAAATTTTAGAATGTTATTTAAATGGATTATTGTAATCCTAGGAGAACAGTCAATATGTTACAATCCCATTAACAATTATTTTAAATAATAGTATAATATTTGCAAATGCATGGATTAAAATCTAGAAAAATAAGCAGTTTAACAGGGGTTTGTTAAGGAGCCCTGGTGGCACAACTGTTAAGCGCTAGGCTGCTAACCAACAGGTCAGCGGTTCAAACCCACTAGCTGCTCCAAAGGAGAAAAGACCTGGCGATCTGCTCCCGTAAAGATGACAGCCTTGGAAGCCCTACATGGGGCAGTGCTACTCTGTCCTATAGGGTTGCTCAGTCGGAATCCACTCAACGGCATACAACAATAGTGGTTTGTTGGGGTCAGGGAATGTGTGATTAGGGGGGAATCTTTCCCTAAGTATGAAATACAGTCTGTGTGATTTGTATTACTTTTGTAATCAGAAAAAAAAAAAGACGACGAAAAAATGATGTGGGTTCAGATGTACACACTTAAATAATTAAGAAACAGGCATTCTGAGCTAGGTTTGGCTCGTTTTAAGTCAAAATATTATCTTCCTGAGATAAAATGCAGAAGACATGTGCTAACATAACTGGACTTGCAGTGAGTTAAACGAAGAAGATGGTGAATCCAAGTCAACTTGGAGAGGAATCCATGGTCATACTCCAAAAGCTTGACTACTGGGTTTGTCCTCGTGAGCACAAAGAAAAATGCATGGTTACTAAAGCTGTGACTAGCTGGTAGATTTTACAGTAACTAGATACCAACACAGTCTGGGCCAAGTTCAGGCACATTTCTGCAATGTTATCATTTGTTGCTTGCTTCTCTCCATATTCCTTACCTTACAGGACCATGTAGCTAATAAAAATGGTACTTATGAGACCTATGCAGAGAAATGTTTATGTTACAAGATGAAGTGAAATAATAAAATTGTCAGTTGCATCCACGTTGTAACTATAGTTATTTCTATTTAAAAGAAAAGGCCTGTATATACAGCCAATGCTTGCAAGGAAACATGGAAAATAAACAGCTGCTATTAAAAGGATGTTGGGATTCTGAGTTATTTTTGTCTTAAAAAAAGTATTCATGGTTATGTTGGTGCAGCAAATAACGAAGAGAACCATTACACTTACGACGCGGAGGTCTTCGATACGTTTTTCAAGCAGCACAGGCAGACCCTCTGGGAGCGTGGGTACCAGCTTGGGCATAACCTGAGAGGCGCAGGCTGGATGGGCAGTGCTTCCATTCTCTCCCCCTGACTCAGACAGGGGGCTGCCATCAGAAGCAGCATCCAGTAATCTGTCAAAGTCAAAATCATCTAGCATCTCAAGGGCATTCTCCGCTTCCTGAAACAGTTCATGTTCATTTGTGCTAACAAAAATGGGGAGGTCTGGATCGGCACCGCTCAGGTTTAAGTCCGAGACGTCATTTCCCAACGCAACAGTGGCAGAGGGGGGCTTATTCAGAGAAGAGGTCTGTAAGGTCACTGGGACTTTGGGATTAGATTCCTTCTTCAATGCATCCTTCTCTTTCTGAAATTTCCGGATCATGGCAGCTAGAGAAAGGGAATCTTTATAACGTTTCTTCTTTTTTTCAGACTTGTGTGAATTTAGAGCCACAACTCTGTGAAGAAAGAAAATGAACAGTTAAGCTATGAATGATTTTGAAGGTTAAATTCCTGTATAAATAAGCAGGCAGAGAATTAAAATAATCACTTGACAGGTGGCAAAGCAAACTGCTCTCACCTTAATTTCTCATTAAATTATACATTTCTAATAGCATCTTCTTAAACATTACCTGGATTAAGTCACCTATGAAAGGCAGACTGTAAACGGCCAATACAGTGATGAAAGGAAGAAGGTCAACAGAAACAAAACTGAATGTAGCTCAGGTTTATTGACGTATACACTTACTCTACAGTTATCGATATGGTTAGGTTCCAAACAGCAGGTTGTTACATGAAAATGGAGGATGACCACATCAGATCACAAAATGGAGGATTGCTATACCATTATATAACTGCCAAACCACTGAGAATCGTGGCTCAGCCAGGTTGACACATAACCTTAACCATCACAGCCAGCGTTACTCTCACCTCGCACCTCCGTGTTCATTACTGTCAGATATACGTCGTTAACGTGCAAAACAGTTGTATGTATTTTTTACTATTGTTGTAAATGCGAAATGTCAGATAACGAGACAGTCGGTAAGTGAGGAGTAGGTGTACTAAGTTACAATGAAATGTTCACATTCTTTAGCATATCTATAAAGTAGTCACCTGAAGAATGAACTAAGTAAAGAAATGCACTTTTGCTGAAAACAGGTTTGCCTTATAACCAGGAAGCCCACACTGTATGCCTTCAAACCAGTACCCAGGGTGGTCTGTGCTTCAAACTACCACAGAAACAAAAACCCTCCTGTATCTGAGAATCTTTATCTACCATGCCATGTCTCCCTAGATCCTATCCTATCTGCTAGTAACTGCAGATCATATTTCACTTCCATTTCAGTAAGAGGAACAGCAGCGTTAGGCAATCAGTTAGATATGTGTAATTTTCAATGACAACACGTTCCCTACTGAAACTATGAGGGAAGGGTGGTCTCAGTTGAGCCATTACTTCTAAGGAATCGTCTCCAAATCCCACAGCTTAGATGGTTTCGTGTATACTAAAAAAAACAAACAACAACCAAACCTATTGCTGTTGAATCAATTCCGACTCAGAGTGACCCTACAGGAAAGAGTAGAGCAGTCCCATAATTTCCAAGGCCATAATCTTTATGGAAAGAAGCACTGGTTTCTCAGTGGTTAAACACTTGGATGCTAACCGAAAGGTCAGCCGTTTGAACCCACCAGTCACTCCACGGGAGAAAGATGTGGCAGTCTGCTTCTGTAAAGATTACAGCCTAGGAAATGCTATAGGGCAATTCTACTCTGTCCTATAAGGTTACTATGAGTCGGAATCAACTCGTTGGCAATGGATTTTTTTTTTTAATCTTTACAGAAGCAGACCACCACATGTTTCTTCTGCAGAGTAGCTGGTGGGTTCAAACCACTGACTTTTTGGTTAGCAGCCAAGCGCTTAACCATGGCACCATGAGGGCTCCTTTGATGTACACTACAGGACCTAAAAGATTAGTAGTACCTTGCAGGCAGGCCCATGTTTCATGTATTGCAATCCACCAAAATCTAATCTAGAACAGTGCCTGGTATATAGCAGGTGATCAATAAGTATTGCTGAATCAGTAACTTATAAAGTTGAGGAACGGATAAATTCGATAGAAGGCATTACTATAGCTTTTGTCCCTAAAGAAGTCTGACTGTAAATCATAAACATTTAAGTCAACCACGTACGATTTTTTCCTTAATAATTTCATGAGTCAAGGGTCACTAAAATTCCAGGCTTATTAGAAGGGGAGAAATACCTCCCTACATCAACCTTTTGGATAGTGATAGCTCCAAATTCACATGCAACTCCCCTGCTACAAAGGGGAGGAAAATCCAGCCCTTCACAAGTTTCTTTCTCTTAGTTTGGCAAAAAAAGTCAGAGACAAGAGCAGGCAATTGGTAATTTTATGATTGCATGGTACAAACATTTTATTCTTTTGACTTAAAGTTTTTGAGAAATTGTTTGGTTTTTAGAGGCAATATGGTTACTTAAAATCACAAGCTTTAAGAAAGGCTAAATAAAATCAATGAAATTTTTAATATTAAAAGAACCCCAAGTCATTCAAATGTTGCCTACCGCCCATACTCAACCCCTAGGCTTTCAAGCTTAGTTTCAATACCGTAAGATTAAAACAATTTGTTCCATGTTTATACCATCTTCTCAAACTGATTCTGGGTAGTAAAAAGTTGTAATGAGCAAAGTACTCAATGAACCCATCTATAAATTTGATCTAAATCACTGTCTGAGTCTCTATGATGTCAAAGCCTTCTACTTATTAATAAATGCTACAATATTACCAAAATTATTACAATAGGCCATTGATATCTATAAATACTATACTAAATTAGACCCAGCTTAAACGGGATGAATTGGTGCTGAATCTGTCCTTCTAGTAAGGTTGTCATCCTGTGACACTGGTCCCTTCTCACACGTTTAATTCAACATACCCCAGTTGTTTGGGTACTTTTTTTCTTGGCTTCTTCTCCTTTTCTCCTTCCTCTTTCCGCTTCCGCTTCTTCATCTCAATATCATCTTTTACTTTGGAAACCTGCAAAATGAACAGAGAGTGCACACTCATCTACATACCAGTGTTTTACTCGCTGATGCTAGCCATCCGGTATCCCAGCCAGTGGTTCATTTCACCTTCAGTGGGCCTTAACGATCGCTTGTTGAAAGTGCAGATCCTTGGAGCCCATGAATCAAACCCCTGGTTTTGATTCAGTTGTATGGGGTAGGCCCTGGTAGTCTTCATTTTTGACAAACAATCTGGTGATTCTGGTGCAAGTAGTCTTTGGACCACACTTCAGAAAACCTTTATCTAAGGTCACTCATCTATCCAATTCCCAAATATTGTATCCACAAATTCTATAGTTTGCTTTACAAATTACATCTTAGGAAAGGTAACAGGGCTATTAACAATCATTTCTATACCAAGTCTTAATTTCCTAGAAATAGTAGATTATTAGACCACAAATGCAGAGAGGTTTAAAAGAAAACATAACCCTACGGTGATCCAAATACCTAATCTTTCCTTCTCTACATACTTTTATTTTAAAGCATGTAATTAACTATAGATTCATTAACCAACGGTTAGCATTTTATTTTTCTTCACATGCACAGCTGTAGCACAAGTAAAACTAAAAGTATATACATCCAATTAATTAAATGTTCTGAGTACTGTTGCAATGTCGGACACACTCACTTTAGGTGGCTTGTGCTTTTGGTTGTCGGTAATATCTTCCTCTTCAGTGTCTGAAGCCTGACGAAACTGGAGAGTGCCAGTGTTGATGTAAAAGCCGCCATATTTTGTGGTTAGAGAAGCAGGAACTAATTCGTCATACTAGGTTAAAAAAAAAGTTTCAGATTCATCCTATTGTCTTTAATTCTGAAGTAAATATATGTCAAAGAAACTCATTCACCATGTCAGGATCTTCCTCAAATCTCAATTGGAAAACTGATGTCACAAATGACTGCAATAAAAGATGTTTGTTATATCTATTATCACTGCAGCATTATTCACAACAGCAAGAACATGGAAACAGCCTAAGTGCCCTTCAACAGATGAATGGGTAAGCAAACTGTGGTGCAGACATACAATGGAATACTGTGCAACCATAAAGAACAATGACGAGCCTGTGAACATGGATGGATCAGGAAGACATAATGCTAAGTGAAACAAGTCAATCACATAATGACAAGTATTACATAACCCTTCTTTTATAAGAAGACCAAAAAAAAATATATACATACACACACACACACACACACACACACACACAATGTTCACTGGTGGTTACCGGGGGAAGGGGGAATCACTCTCTAGATCATAGATACTTGTTATTTTTGGTGATGGGAAAAGTAGCACAGAATGTGGATGTAAGGAGCATACCCTGACCAAAGTAAACAATGCCACTAAGAAGCACACAAGAGAAAAGGATGTTTGTGCTAAAGAATATGACATATATCGTTTGGCAACCACACCAACAATCAAAAAAAAAAAAGCACACAGTCACATATGTAGGTGTACAGTGTATAGGCATATATGTGTACAGGTAGGTAAAGATGAATACCTACATGTGCACCGATAGAAGTATCTATAGGTACATGTATGTACACATGTGTATGCATGCATATATATTCACAGAGGACACAGTCACAGATACTTCTCAGACATAACCAAACATCTTGTGAGAATGGTTTTCTGAGTTTGAAGGCTTAGGACCTTAGTCTCATGGGACAACTCAGTCAACTGGCATTACAAAATTCACACTCTGCATCCTAGGGAGGCAAGTAGTCTCTGGGGTCTTAAGAGCTTGCAAGCAGCCATCTAAGGTACAACTACTGGTCTCTACTCTTCAAGAGCAAAAGAGAAAGAAGGAAACCAAAGTCTCAGGGAAGAAACTAGTCTACAGGGCTGACAGTCTACGCAAACCACAACCTTATCTACCATGAGACCAGAAGAACTAGATGGTGCCCAGCTACCACTACCACTACAACAAGCGTTCTGATCAGGGTCACAATAGATGGACCCTGACAGAACAGGAGAAAAACACAGAACAGAACTCAAATTCTTAAAAAGTCCAGATTTAATGGACTAGTTGAGACTAGAGGACTCCGTGAGACTATCGCCCTGAGATACTCTTTAAACCTTGAACCAAAACTATCCCGAGGTCACCTTTTAGCAAAATAACAGACTGGCACACAAAATAAAGGATATTACCCATGAGTACCAAAACCAAAACCTGTTGCCATCAAGTCGATTCCGACTCATAGCAACCCTACAGGACAGAGAAGAACTGCCCCACAGGGTTTCCAAGGAGTGCCTGGTGGATTCGAACTGCCAACCTTTCGGTTAACAGCCAAACTCTTAACCGCTGTGCAACCAGGGTTTCCACCCATGAGTACCGTACTCCATTAAAAAACCATCTGTGTAAGACCAAGAGGTCAAAAATTACTCTAAAGCAAAGATGAGAAGATAAGGGGCAGGGAAACTAGAGTACTGGAAATGGAACAACTAGAATGCAATTAAAGAGAATGCTGACACATCATGAAAAATGTAACTAATGTCACAATAATCTGTGTAGAAACTGTCAAATGGGAACCTAATTTGCTGTGTAAACTTTCACCAAAAACACAACAAAATATTATTTAAAAAAAGATGTTTGGAGAAAAAGTTAATATATGGAATAAAAATTAGGTCTGATCATTAGTTATTTATCAAGAAAGGAACTTCTGGAACAATTAAGTAAATTCTAAATATATCACCTGCTGAGAAGATGTTAAGGATCATTGCTACTCTTTCTAATAACAAAAGGCTCTGATGAGACCCTGAAACAAGAACTAAACCTCAGTCATAAGAGAATAAATAGCAAAGCCATTTCTTCTGTCTTAGCTCTCAGCTTCTAAGTGGGAAAATTTTTGAAAACAATGTTTCAAAGAACTGTAGCATGTAGGTGCTTCAAAGGAGAAAATCACTGCCCAGGTCTGTAGGCACACACCACTGAGGGTATACTCTGAGCTGGGCACTGCTCACCGCAAGGGTATCGACTGTCTGTGTCAGACTGATGGCCTGAGCCCGAAGGAAACCTCACGTCCTCAAAGCCCAGATCAGAATGTTTATCATTCTCTTACCTGATGAAGAGGGACAAAAGGAAAACATTAAACAAAGGCCAATCTTAACTGATGGAAGGGGTTCCTAGTGAGAGAGGAAAAAGGAACTACTTATCTAACAATAGCAAGATACCTGCTACCTGGGGTCCCTACACTGGGGGCATTTCAAGTTATATAACTAATCTTTAAGAAAGGCAGGTTTTTGAGGAAAATTCTGTTTTTTTTCATTTTCTTTTTATTATTGTACTTTAAATGAAGTTTACATTTCAAGCTAGTCTCCCATACAAAATTTTTATACATACATTGTTATGTGACCCTAATTGCTCACCCCTTTCCACCCAATTCCACATAACCATTCAACCAGCTCCTGACCCTCTTCTGCCTTCCCATCTCACCTCCAGTCAGAAGTGCCCCTTTTGTCTCTTGTATCTACTTGAGCTAAGAGGCACACTCCTCACAAGTATCACTTTATGTCCCACATTCCAGTCCAATCCCTGCCTGAAGAGTTGGCCTCAGGAATTGTTTTAGTTCTGGGCTGGCAGAGAACCCGGGGGCCGTGCTTTCCGGGGTTCCTCCAGTCTCAGTCAGACCATAAAGTCTGGTCTTCTTACTAGAATTTGAGTTCTGCACCCCACTTTTCTCCTGCTCCATCAGGGACTCTCTGTTGTGTTCCCTGTCGGGGCAGTCACTGGTGGTAGCCGGGCACCATCTAGTTCTTCTGGTCTCAGGCTGATGAAGTCTCTGGTTTATGTGGCCCTGTCTGTCTCCTGGGCTGAGGAAAATTTCTTTACTAGAGGCAAGGAACAGACACAGCCTATAAGTTACTGTAAGAATTAAGCGTAAGTACAGAAACTGTGATTTTTAACCTGTATTCTTGTACAGTTGTGGAGAATGGAACAGGAGGGCACTGCCAGCGTAATCAGATCAAATCAAGAAGAAATGAAGTAAGCAAAAATAAATAAACAATCATAACACAGAAAAAGAAAAGACATGACGTGAATGACTTTCTCGGTACAGGTAAGACCTTACAGAAAAGGGCCGGCACCGGGTGTCCGTACAGGAATGATGTGAGGAGCGAAGGATTCAAAGTGAAAAGGCTGTAGTTGTTATTCTGAAAATGTTGAACTGTGATAAGATAAAAGCACTGGTGTTTTTTGCTTACATGTACTTGTATAACACTTTCTAATCTCCCACGCTTCTTCAAATAAATTACTGCATTTGGCCCTCATGATGCCCTCGTGAGGCAAGGCAGGCATATATTATTCCCGTTTTTTAAGTGAAAACCAGGCTCTGAGAGGTCAGGCACTGTGCCACAGCAATTCTGTTAGTCAGGGCAGAGTCACTGGCTGACTCCCAACCTATCACTGCACCAAACCCGGTCGTCACCAGGCAGATGAGGTTCTGTCGTGCTCGAGTCTGTCACGTAGTATTCTGAGCTCTCGCTATCAGGGCAGTCCTCAGAAAAATCAACTCCTCAGGCACATTCTGTCTCACTCTCTAAGCAGAATGTGTTAAGACGACATGGAATATCGAAGTGGAGACTCAGAAGGCCTGGATTTAGATGGCTACCTATTGTGATCCAGGGCAAATCACGTAACCTCAATTGCGGGGTTGTAAAATGGGGACAATACTTAACTTCACAAGGCTCTAGTGAAATTTAAAAGAGCGAACCTAAATAAAAGTGTTACTCAGCCTGGTATTATTATTTACTACTAATAAAGAATAAACGTGGGACTAAAAAGAAACTTCAAAAACATTTATTTTCAGGTATTTGTAGTATCTTCACTCTCTATGGAATACTACACAAACACTGAAAGCGTACTGACAGTACAATCAGTGGGAAGAACAGAGAATAATGTTGTCCGTGACTACACAATCGTGTTGTATCATTGTTTTATGTCTGAATTACTTCATAAAAACAACCAATGAATCTGCTAAGGGCAGTGATGCTAAATCATCTTGCAGGTCCATAAACAACCTGTATTTTAGTTCAATCTCCTCCTGTAAAACAGGGACCTACCTATCTTGTCCTATATATGTCAGAAATGAATTACAGAATCTGACAACTTAAATCTACAAAATCTATCCTTATTTTACTAAAATAGTGGCTTTTAAATTTTCTTCACCACAACTCAGAGTGGAAAATACATCACACATCAAAATGCAGTGCATAGGCATGCACACACACAAATAAAATCAAAAGTATTTAATCTCATGACCAGTGATGTACTCTGGTAGCTTCTATTCTATTCTATTCCAGCTCACTTTCTTTAAAAATGCTGGTCACATTCTCTAAATTGATATGTAATCCAATTATGGGTTACAAAAACCAGTTTGAAAAACACTTTATTCAAATATTGTGAATGCTACAAAAGAAGATATTAAAAATGTTATTTATGTAAGCCTAAATACATGCAATGCCCATTTACATCTAGCTGAGTTCTCCCTTGGGTAATTTAGAATTCAGAATCTCCCTTCCATAGAATCATGCAATGCTTACACTGATATTAATGCTTTACACTTGCTTTATGCTTTTCAGAGCAGGTTTATATACACTGTCTTACTTGAGCCACAGAATAATTCTGGGGGGCAAGCAGGCCACAGCAGGGAACACTCGGTGATGCTAAAGGACTTGCTTCGTGGATATTTTCACCACCACACACACGAAAGATACTTAAAAAGAAAAAAAGACTTTCTCCAGGTCATAGGACAAATGAGAAACCGAGTCAGGACCAGAATCTAAGTCTTCTGACTTGAGCTCAACTCAAAGAGTTCCAAATCAAGGACAAGACCCTTGAAGACATCCCATGCCCTAACTTACTGGCTGACAAACTTCTTGGTAACAGGAAGCCCTCTCCACTCCAAAGGGCACTGGCCATATTTTACAGCTGCCAACCAGGTTGCCTGGTATGGTGAAGCCATTTATGTCAGGACAGCAGAAACAATGTAGGAGTATGAGAGGGCACCCAGTGTGCCTCCGCGCAAAGTCCTTCCCACTACTACACGCTCTGTCATCATCCATACAACCAAGCACTATAGCGACAGGAAAAAGACGTGCTAATTGTAGGTAGCGTTTCACAGCCCCCCAGCCCCCTTAGCGTCACTTTCTGTGCCTCCTAATTAATCACTCACGCTGCAAGGCTATCCTAAGGGCAGGGTTTAGATGACTCTAGTATTGGAAGAATGTCAGAACATATATCTCACCTATCCCAAACCATGGCATGCCCTCATTCATTTACTATGTGATCAACAGACTGCTGCAGGCTCTAAATGCTCGTCATTTTATAAGAAAAAAAGGATTCCAAAGGAAAAGCTGTAGGGTTTAATCAAAATAAACTGGCAATAAAGGCTGGCACTCGATCAACTGCCATTATACTAAGGCACAGCAGCAGTAAACAATTAAATACATTCTAAAGATGTCTGCGAGATTAACTTCAACCCAGTAGCACCAATTTTCAAGATCACATGGTTCTCATTGAGAAGTTATTTCAAAATACACCTAGCCAAGTTTGGGAACACCAATAAAAATTCAAGATACACCCTGTGACCAATAAATTTCCAAAAATAGAAATTCATCCTGCATATGTATTTGCTCTCTATAAATATACTGCACACGTTTACTCAAGTACACAAAGATAAATGTGCACAGATGCTCAATTATTTGTAAGTGTATAAAGCTGTACACAATCTAAATGTGCATCAACAGGGAATAGATTTAATAAATTACACAACACAGATCTATTCTCTAACAGCCATTAGAAGGGACAGATCTATGTGCTAATGTGAAACTAACATTAAATTACATTATGTAAGGGGATGGAGTTAGGGGGTTGCTGGCTGATCAGCACAAACTTTGATACCTTGGCCATCGACGTACATAAATTTTTCCTAGATTCAAATTGAATGTTACCTTCTCATCTGGCTTCTACTACTTTAAACTCTTTCTGCTAGCTGCTTCTCTCCAAACCTGAATATGCTTATCTTAGATAAGTGGGACTTGACATACAAAGATAACATTTTCACTTTAGGAAATTTTTTTTTCTGTATAATTACAGGAAAATTGTGTGTCAATGGAATTTTCGAATAAGTTAATACTTAATATGTAGAACGAGTGAAATTAAAATGTGGGATACATAAAATATATATATACAGAAAAGCTAAGGTTAAAAATATATGTACTATGACCTCATTTGTGTTAGCATTTATAAAGGGTATACAGGTACATGTTTACAACACATGGAAATTTTTGGATGACCACACAAGCTTAATAGTGCTTACCTTTTGCGAGTGAGACTTTTGGGGTACTTCTGCTTTCTACTTCATACCCTCTTGTACATTACTGTTGTTTTACCATAAGCATATATTGTTTTATAATTTAAAAAAACCAAAAAATAAAACCTCAAACAGCAAAAATCTCTTATTTAGGCCTTACCTCCAGAAATTCTAATTTAGCATGTTTGGTTCAAGACAAGTACATCAACAGTCCTGCCCCCAACTGAGAATCATCAGTCTAATGCAATGGTTTTCAGCATCTGGCTATAACTTTCTCCTGCCTTTTTCTTTTTTTCCCAAAACAGTTTTTTGTTATCAGTTAGGGCAAGAAGTAGCTCATGAAATCAATACTAATCACACAAGTCTGAAAACTAAAGAACTAAAGAGACTCTTTCAGGAATCCTGGAATGGAACTCAGCATATTCAAAACCATGGTCTAGCAGAGGGCTCGGCAAACTCCAGCCCATGGGCCAAATCTGGTCTGCTGTTTGTTTTTCTACAGACTGACACCTAAGGATGGTTTTGCATTTTTAAATGGCTGGAAAAAATCAAAAGAAGACCAATATTTGTGGCATGGAAAAATTATACGAAATTTAAATTTCAGCATCCAAAAATAAAGTTTTACCGGAACATAGCCACACTCTTCGACGTATTGTCTATGGCTACTCTCACGCCACAATGGCAGAGGTGAGCTGTGACACAGGCCACTTGAACCACAAAGCCTAAAATACATACTATCTGGCTCTTTACAGAAAAAGTCTGTCGAATCCTGGTCTAGTATAATCATGTAAGAATGACTCATCATGGGCCCACCCAACATTAAAAATTTTTAAATCCACCAAACCCACTGCCGTCGAGTCGATTTCGACTCATACCGACCCTAGAGGACAAAGGAGAATTGCCCCACAGGGTTTCCAAGGAGCAGCTGGTGGATTTGAACTGCAGAACTTTTGGTTAGCAGCCGAGCTCTTAACCACTGCACCACCAGGGCTCCTTTAAATTCATAGCATCCTTTAAAAAAAAGAAAAGAGTGACAAATCTTTAAGCAGTGAAAATGGCTTTAAAAAGTACAAGCAAAAACATTCATTGAGCTATTATAGTTAGTTTACCCTTCATTTCTACTATCCCAAACAAACAAAGAATTTGCGGTTATATTAAAGATACATTACTCACAGCCTCTGAGTTATCAATAAACGGGTCTGTCTCATCATAGCCAAAGCCTATATCAATTAAATCTTGTAGCCGATCCTTCCGGTGTTTACGGGGTTTCCCACCCTGCAAAGAACAGATACGTTAGACTGACCCGGTACTCACACTGTTTCCAGGAAGTTACAAAATATCTGTTAGAAGAATTCCAAATAATTTTTGTAGATCATCTCCCCTCCAAGAGTTTAACTTCTCTGACACCTTGAATGTAAATTGCACTCAATGACTTCCTTCCAAAGAGTACAGCATGGAAAACCACAACAAAAAATTAGCTGCTGTCAAGTTGATTCCGACTCACGGTGACCCTCATGTATTAGAGTAGAACTGCACTCCACGGGCTTTTCGGTGGCTGAGTTTTCGGGAGTCAGTTCTACTCTGACAAGGGGAGGTTTCTAGGAAATTCGAGTTATTCTATTGAGAAAATGTAACACACAAGCAATTAAGTACATGAAGGACTGTTTCACCCTAAAAAAAAAAAGAGGGCTTAAGAAGTACATAAAATCCCACAGAAGAACACTAATAAAGAAGACTAGACCTGCTACATATTAACCATATTTAAATTTACAGGAGTTAAAACAGACATTGCATGAATATAAGAATAAACAGATTGATAGAACTGTTCATAAACCTACACGAGTATGTAAGAATTTAAGATGAAAAAGGCAGCATTATAACCCAATGGAGAGCAATTACCATAATAAATCAAATAAATGCAATTAAAGTAAGAGACCAATTTCTATCAAATCATAAACTTTTAAAATTCTGGCAAGATGGAGAAGAAATAGGAATGAGTAAACATTTGTGATAAGGGGACACTAATAAAGCCCTTTTGGGAAATAATCTGAAAGCATCTGCCAAGAGACATTTCCAAACTCTTACATTTTCTTCTTTTGCCTCTTTTATGTTTTGCAAATTTTCTATGAGGTATTACTATCATAATGGAAATACGTTAACATACTTTAAAAAATTATCTTAATTAACCCAATAATTCTACTCCTAAGTTATGCAGCCCATTTCTAAGCACTACTTAGAAGGAATTCACATTTAAGTATGAAAAGTCCTTGTCCTCAAGGAACTGAAAACAAAACAGTCTACTCAGCAAATGTAGTATCGAGGTCCTACCACAGGGCACAGGCTGTGCTGTGTATTAGGGACACAGCAATGAAGACAGACATGGTTTCCAGCCTTCGTGGATTTTACAGTGAGGCAGAGGAGAAAAAGTGAACAAATAATGACAGCCACGATAAATGACAGAAAGGAAAAACACAGGTTGTACAGACAGCTTTGAACAGAGGGCCTAATCCAGGCTTCCTGAAGACATGTATGCACAGACAAGGATGAGTGGAGTTAAGCCGTTTGTGGAAGCTGCTGAAGGAGTTAGAACTGGAAGGAACCTGAAAGACTGGCTACTGCCGTCGTGTGGGACCACAGGTCAGGAGGAGGTCAGTCAGAAAAGCAATCAGAGATCTGCAGTGCTCATGATGATAGCCAGCACTCATGAGTGCTGACTTTGCATTAGACCCTAGACTAAAGAGCTATTATTTCACATTTGCCAAATGCAAAAAAACTAACATTGAGAAAGGTCAAGTGACTTATCTGAGGCCACATGGTTAGAAAGTGGTAGAGTCAATCTTCAAACCCATGGCTATCTGACTCCAAAGTGCCATTCGAGTAAAAGTGCTAGAACAGAAGTTACAGAACCTATAGCGTCATTTTTTAGTCAAGACACTGAAATTCAACACACCAAATGGAAATCAGCGCCTCCACTGTTCTCCAAATAAGCTTCTCCCACTTGACATTCCCACTTTGTTCCTTCTGTCTTAAAACTTCATTATTAGCTAAAATTAAAAAGACAGAGGATATTAAGTGTTGACAAGGGTGTGGAGCAACTGGAACTCTCCTACATCACTGGTGGTAATCCAAAGAGATACAGCCACATTGGGAAATACTTTGGCAGTTTCTTAAAAAGTTGAACATATGCTTAAAAACTGGGAACAACTCAAACGCGTATCATCTGGTAGATAAATTGTGTACACCCATACAACAGATTACTACTCAGCAATAAAAAGGAAGGGACTACTGACAGATGCAACAAAGTGGAGAAATTCCAAAAGCATTATGCTAAGTGAAAGAAGCCAGATACATTCACAGGAATTTCTAGAAAAGGCAAAAACTGTAGTGACAGGAAACAGCCAGTGATTGCCAGGGGCCAGGGCTAGGGCGAGAGGATGGTCCACAAAGGGGGTACAAGGAGACTTTCTGGGGTGGTGGAATTGTTCTATGTCATGATCATGGTTGTGTTTGCACGACTGACTGCATTTGTCAAAATTCATCAAATCGCACATTTAAAATGGATGAGTTGTATTTATTTATATTCTACCTCAATAACGCTCATTTAAAAAAAAAAAAAACCTCTCATTATCATTTCTACCCATCGACTGTCCCCACAAACCCTTGTCCACATGACTGCTTACATCGTTTAGCTTCCTTTCCATTCCACCTGCCACTGCACTGCTGGCCCTTGTGTTTGGCTTAAATGCAACGAATGTCTTAAATAGCCTCCCCTCCCTCAAATTTATCCTGCACGATACCACCTAATTAATATTTCTAGAATATCATCTTATATCACTCCCCTGCTCAAAATGCTTCCAGAAGCACTCTACTTATTACAAGATAAATCCAAAACCCTTAATATGGCATTAAATGCCTTCTACATGTTGCCTCAAAGTACCTCTCCAACTTTTTTCTCACAATGTTCCAACTTGAACACTATGATCACTCAATCTCTCCATCCTCTCTCCCCCAAACATACCTGCTTATCTCTCCTCAAGCTCTCCCCTTATTTGGAAGAGTCTCTTACTCCTCTCTGGATCCTCCCACACTTCACAGCTGAGTCCAAGTTTTAAACCTTTTCTCCAGGAAACCTTCTAATTAAAAAAAAAAAAAAAAAAAAGGTCTTTTTCTGCTCTCCTAACATATATTTTGTCTAAACAGAACTAGCTCCCTATAAGATTTCCTGGGGAAAATTTAAAAAACAAACAGGCTCTGCTGTCATGAGTACAGTCAGACATATGCAGAAGTGCAAACAATTTATGGAAAATCAGAGATTTAGGAACATCTAAATCTAATCAAGTTGATCGATTTGTTACCATAGGAAATTCTGATTGTTGTTAACAGTTCTGGGTCCACAATCTAATGGCGGCTGGTAGATTCGAACTGCTGACCTTTTGGTTAACAGCCAAGCTCTTAACCGCTGTGCCACCAGGGCTCCATAAAATGGTTCGTACTGTTAAATTAGTAAAAGTGAATCTCATCAAGCACAGTAAACAAAATGGCTAAAGCTTTTACTTGATTATAATTGCATTAATCTGACCAAAATGCCACCCAAAAGTATAAGATCTTCACCAAGCATCATAACAATGATAGAATCATAACAATGATACAGGTATGAATTATATATACTATGACACATCCACTGAATGTTAATATTGTCATTCAAAAACAATGTTGTAGAAGAATATGTATTAATATAGACAGTAAAAAAAGCAACTGGCCAAAAGCAGTGTATAGCTTAGGCTGTTCTCAAAAAAGGCCAACACCAATGTTCACGAAGCAGCTACAAAGGTGTTCAACCTGACTGGTGATCACAGAGGCAGCATTAAAATCCCAGGACGCTGCTTTTGCAACTACACTGTCATACAAACAGTATGATCTCATTTATAAAAGACAACACAGCAACAGATGTCTATAGATAGATAACATGCTGGCAGAACAGGCAAGCAGATAACCATGCTTATTGCTACTGGGAAAGAGATATAATTGGAGACAGTGGTGAAGGATTTTGGTTTAATATGCATTATCTGAAAAAATTTTTTAATAATAGGAATGTAATCATATATTACTCAGGTGTATAAAAATTTAAAAAAAAGGACAAACGAGCACATACGTAAGCATACATTTATTGAAAAAGCTCTTGAAGGATACACATCCAACTGTCAACAGTGGGCACGCCTGGCAGTGGGCTTACAGATGGGTAGATGATTTTTATTTTCTTTTTGTTGATCTAGATTTATACATTCTTTTACAATGAACAACCACCCTTTGAAATACATGGATATGCTTACATATGCCCAATGCCCAGGGGACCTGAGAAGAGGGAGTGAGTGAGGAGTGGGAGGGAGATTTACTTTTCATTGTATTACCTTTTGTTATCTTTCGAATTTTTATTGAGTACACGTAGGTATTACCCATTCAAGAAAGTTTACTCTCCTAGGTAAATTTCAATACCTACCTTTCAGATTTTTCAACTCCTTCTTAATGGCTCTGCTTCCCAGTCCCACTGTGGGGAAAAGCTTTGGATAACCTGTATTTGACACATCCATACCTGAGCAGCTGTTTCTTAAATCCCTCCCCAACAGCCAGGGTGCCGCAGCCTTTACTCTCCATTTGCTGTCAGGCACATTCCACCTCCCTCCTTCCTCACAGAGGCCACCAGTTTTCTGGCCTTCGTTTCCTTTTCCTCACTTTTGGGCCTTTCTGGAAAAACTCATACCCTTGGTCTGCCTTCTGCCCAACCTACCCTTTTCTAGTCTCTAACCTCCAGGCCCCAAGTTATGCTAAAATTCAATGCAGTGCAAAGTGTATTATCTGAAATCAAACTTTCTGCAGCTGCCATAAAGATACACATAAATTAACTCACAGACAGCAAAATTCCCCTAAAGGAGCTCGAGATTGGCAAAGGATCCTCCTACAGCGTCTTCCCTGTGAGCCTATTCTGAAGTGCCTGCCCTCTTTGCCAGCATCCTCGAGGAGAACACTCCCCGCAGAGGGATCCAAGGCTCACCTGATGAACTCCCTGGGCCTTCACAGCTGTGGACAGCACACAGTTTACACAGTCATCTCATAAAAACACAGATTTTATTTTCTAAACAAAGAAACAAAGCCCCCCTTTAATTCTGCTAGATCTAAAATGAAAAAAAAACCTTTCAACCTACTCCTCTAGGGCACCAGTTCACTACGACTCAGACAGCCAAATATTACTTACTGAGTCATCGTTAGTACCTGCTTAA